CTAAAGGTTACACATAATTCTAATAATATTATACCGCATTATTTATAACCTAATTTGCTATTATAAAGCCCTATAAATTTAGGTACGTTTTATTTTAGTTATTATATGCAACAAATGCAAGATAATAGCTCTTGCTATCACTAGAAAACACATTATTCTAATCATGATTAAAAACGCAAGTGTCTAACCCAAAAAAATCAAAAAATGAAATATTTATTACCGCATTTTGTGACTTAACACTTTTTTTTAAAACATAACGTCACAGTCCTCATACAAGTATTTTAATGTAAATTTTGACAAAGCTTAAAGGTAACAGCATTTTTTTTTCTAGTGAGGAACACGTGCTGAGAAAGGAAGAATTCATGGACATACAATACCAATTCCACAGCAGATCTGATACTAGCAAAAACATTCTTTTTTTTTCAGTTGAGGTAAACACATAGAATATCTAACATGAAACAATTAATAGACTGAACTCTGTAACAAAGTTTGTTACAGTATTCTCTTGCTTTTTCTCAAGCTTTGAGTTCATCATAGAGTTCTAGGTTTGGTACAAAGACCATTAATATCTTTTTTCATAAGGAAAGCTGCCCAACCTTCAGATTCATCTTGTCCAAAGTCAAGACTCAGAATTACTAAAAGAAGCTCCTGCTCTGTTTTTTAAATCTTCACTAGCAGGCTCCTTGAAAAAAGAGTCCAAAAATATCTTGGGCTTACGAAGCACAAACTATAAAGATCTGTTTGAAACTAAAGGACACATTTATGAAGGAACAGAACCAGGGGATGGCAAGGCCTTTACGGAACTATCTTCTGAATGATGGAAGATCCAGCAAGATTCTGTCTTCATCTCCAGGTTAGTTCTTTTCTCACTGGCCAAAGATGTCTGAAATATATTGTTTTCTTTCAGGGATAGCGACTTCACTGCTGAACCGAAACAGTCATTCTTTTGGGAACAACACACATAGTGTGGAAAACAAGGATATTTTTTTCCTTCTAAAACTATCTGAGGCAACATAACGGAGTGATCAACAGAAATATACAAGTTAACTTAGTTCCTATGTTTATATACTACAGTAGTTATAACTCTTGGAGTCTTTTTTTTCCCAGAGGATCTTTACATGGACATAAATTCTTTTCAGTGTGCCCATGATTTCGTATTTCTGTTCTTGTTTCCATTGGTCCTCTGTTGTTAATGAAAAATGATAAAAGTAAAAAATAATCACAGCTGTCTGGAATTGCGTATGAAGTGTCAACATCTGGTCAAAGTTCACAAGTTTTAAAATATTTTTCCTTGAGTTCCTTTATACTATTTGGGCATGAATGTCCATAAGCTGTCCACCGACATTGGGTTCTATAGAATTTAAGATGGTGGGGCTGTGCTGAAATGGTCATTCCAGGATGGGTAAAGGGTCCTCCATGCATCATCATGGCTGGGTGATGGGGTGACTTGGCAAATATGAATGGATTGGGGTCCATGTTCTAATTGAGTAGGGTGAGGGGTCATCTGGGAAGGAGTGTAACTTGATTGTGTCATACTCATACCCATAGGACCACCCTGAGATATGTAGTCCCCTGGTATGCCTTGCAAACCTAGAAGGAGAGGGAAATAAATAAGGTCAGATTGTTGAACATGTTGATGATTCCACCTCTCTAAAAAGAACTGAACAAACAACAGATATTGCAAATACTCCATCTAAATTTAGCTGAAGTTCTTTGCCAATGTTTACAGATTTTCATATTCTAGTTTGCATTTAATGTGAACATTCCATGGAATAATATACACAGCAGAACTAAATATTGAACACAACTGTGTGATCAAATGTAAGGATATTTTTAAAATACTTGTAACTGGATTTCTATCATAACATAAATATCAGATTTGCTTTTTTTAATCTTTTTAAAAATGTAGAACATTCTATTTTTTCTATCTTTCACATACCGAATTGTCATGATAATTTTGCTGTGAGTCAAGAGATATAGATAAGAAAATACATACTAATAACTTGGAAATTCAAGATTATTTGCACATTATTATTATTATTATTATTATTATTATTATTATTATTATTATTATTATTATTTCTTTCATTGATGTCACTTTCTTTAAAGAAATAGTCTACGCATGAAGCCAAATATGATGTTGTGAAGAATAAATCTATGCTTTTCTACCCTATGCATTCTTTCTATTCCAATATAGGTTGTAAAAGAGATTCTGATTATTTCCATCACTTCTTAAAACTAGTAGTAGCTGAAGATTAGTTATTTAAAAGCATACAGATTGAAAGTACATAATATATCAGGACAAAGTTTCCAATCCTATTATGACAAGATACTAACAAATTGCTGCTTCTCTAGAGTTAACATTTAAAGTAATAAGAAAAAGAATGTATATTCTGTAATCCTTACAGTAGCTCGTTATAATGGCTGGTTGATTTCTTTTTACTCCATTTCATGAATGCATGAAATGTATTTTAAAAAGTAACATTACTATTATTCTCAC